GGACACCTTTTGGGATGAGCACTGGGTGTTGTATGGAAACCAATTTGACAATAAATTTCATATTAAAAAAAAATAAGTACAGCAGGCATCTTTCAATCTCATTAAGTCTGTGATCATCTGAACAGAGGCATAAAGGCAACATCACTGAAGTCATTTCTTCTTTGGATGGATTCATGAAGTTACTTTTGATAGATTGATGCCAACAGGAATTATGTATCTTTTATTTGGAAGCTATTCAGTCCAACTAGTGATGCAAACTTTACCTCTTCTCAGTTTGGAGTAACTTCCAAAAGTCATTAAGTAGAACTGACATAAACCATGAATTCAGTGGTTCCCAGAGTATAGTTTATGATCTCCAGGGGTCCGTAAGACCTTTCATGGAGTCTGCAATGCCAAAAATACTTTCAAAACCATATTAAAATCCATAGTAGTTTAAAGAGTGTTCTCCAAAAATTCATGTCTACCCAGAACCTATGAATGTGTCCTTATTTGGAAAGAGGGTCTTTATAAATGTAATTAGTTAAGATGAGTTCACACTATATTAGAGTGGGCCCTATATCCAGTGATGGTGGCCGTATAAGAATGCAATGTTAGGAGACACACAGGAGGCCGGGGGACCACAGAGGCAGAGACTGCGATTGGCATGAGGCAGCTATAAGCCAAGGGACACCAAGACTCTGGCTACCACCAGAAGCCAGGAGATAGGCTGGAACAAATTCTCCCTCAGTCTCCAGAAGGAACCAGTCCTCTAATACCTTGGTTTCAGACCTTTAGTTTCCTGAACTGCAAGAAAATACCTTGTTTTAAGCCACCCAGTTTATGGTAATTTTATGGAAACCCCAGGAAACAAATAGATTTTGATGCCAGGAAGTGGGGTGCTACTGGACAAATACCTAAAAATATGGAAGTGGCTTTGGAATTGGGTAAATGGGAAAGACTGGAAGAATTTTGAGCCATGTAATAAAAAAAAAAAAGTCTAGGTTATCTTGAAATGATTTGGTAGAAATATGGAAATATGGACAGTAGAGAAAGCTGGCATCTCAGAGAATTTCTATTTCATCATGAACAAAATGTTGATAGAAGTGTGAACATTAAAAGGTGCTTCTGGGGTGCCTGGGTGGCTCAGTCGGTTGAGCATCTGACTTTAGCTCAGGTTATGATCTCGCAGTTTGTGAGTTCGAGCCCTGCATCAGGCTCTATGCCGACAGCTCAGAGCCTGGACCCTGCTTCAGATTCTGTGTCTCCCTCTCTCTCTGCCCCTCCCCTGCTAGCCCTCTGTCTCTCAAAAATGAATACATGTTAGAAGATAAAGGTTCTTTTGGTGTGAACTCAGAAATGAACATGTTGGACACTGGAGGAAAAGTAAGGTGGCAGAAAACTTGGCTGACGTGTGTTCTGCTTTGGGGTTAAAGTAGAGCTTGTGAACCATGACATTGAATATTTAGCTGAGGTTTCCAAACAAAATATGGAAGATATGGCCTACTTTCTTGCTGCTTATAGTAAAATGCAAGAGGAAAGAGATAATTTGAGGAAGGAAATGGTTAGCAAAAAGGAACCAGAACATGATGAGTTTGAAAATTCACAGCCTATCTATTCTGCAAGGGCATGCTCTTCAGAGGTCACCAAGGGTGTGTGCTGGAAAATGTGCGATTAGATTTGTGGCCATGGATACGATCAAGCATCTCAGCAGAAGCTAGGAATAGAGGCACGGTTGTCCAGAAAGGATCTGTGGAGAAGCCTCATGTCTAATGGTGTGGAACTCCTTGACACCCATGAAGACTGACGGGTTTGTGAGAATGTTACATCGGCAGAAATGCTGCCATTTTGGCCTCGCAGGGACAGAGATGGGACAAGAGGAAGGAAGGCTGCCAGACTTGTAGGATTCTATAAGCAGGAAATGGGCTGCCCGGAGGGTAAGATTGTGTCCCAGGCTGAGGACAGAGAGGGTAGGGCCAACAGGGCTTCTGATGGTCTAGAGGTTGGGGCTGGGACAGCCTCTGGGCCCAGAGGGCTGGTCAAGCCACAAAAGATTATTTTCAGGCCTTGAAACTTTATGACATTTGCCCTGCTGTGTCACAGATTTGCTTTAGACCAGTGACTCTATTCCTTCCACTTTCTTCCTTTTGGAACGGGAATATCTATCCCATGCTTTTTCCACCATCGTATGGTACAAGCTGAAAACATGCTTTTTAGTTTCATACGTCCACCAATGGAAAGGAGACCAAAGGAGACCAAGGCCGGGCATACCAGAGTCTAACCCGTACTTGATTTAGACAGATGGGATGTGACACTCTGAATTGAGAATTTGGAGTTAATGCTGGAATGGGTGAAAAGTTTTGGGAGTGTTGGGATGGGATGGATGTGAATGTTGGGGGACCGGACGGTAGATTACACTGGGTTTGTTTCCACAAAATTCATGTCTACCAGAAACGGAAGGTGACCTTACGATGCCACTCAGAATTAGGGTACCCACTAAATCTAATGAATGGCATTCTTACAAGGAGGGAGACACACAGAAATATACACACGGGGAAGAATGCCATTTGAGCCAGAGATGAAAGTGAGTCAGCAATAAGCCAGTGAACACCAAGACCTGCTGGCAGCCCTGAGACGGTAGGAGAGAGGCATAGAACAAATCCTCCCTCCATCTCCAGAAGGAGCCAAGTCCGACACCTTGATCTTGGATCTCTGGCCTCCTGAACTGCAACGGAATATCCGTTGTTTTAAGCCACCTGGCTTGTGTGACTCTTTCCCAGCAGCCGCAAGAAACAGGCACAGACTTGTTTCAGCAGCTCCAGGAAACAGACAAGATGCTGTTTGCCTTTTTCTCTCATGAGCATACAGTGGAGTTTTCCGGAGGCTGCGTGATGTCTCATATCGTGACAGACTGAAGGCAGAGCTGGGGTACGAACCCAGCTGTGTTCTATTAGGCCAGATAGTAAAGGAATTATGAAAATGTAAAACAGTGTCCCGTGAGTAATCCATTTCTGTTTTGGAAAATAGTTAATGTTTCATTAAAAAAATCTATGTTGATATACTGGGTTTATTATGGTTTTCACATTGGTAATTTTTCCCAGTTTTAATTCCAGTTTGGTAAATGCAGTAGATATGACCCACATATATGACAGCTCTTTGGGGTCCTCAGTAATTTTTAAGAATATATAAAGAGTCTGCATTCAAAATGTCTGAGAACCACTGGCTTACTTATAAAGTTTCAAGTTCAGAAGGACATCCTGGTGTCGGTGCCCCTGCTTCTTGGAAGGTCAACACTGAAAACAGCACTTAAAAGAATGAACTTTAGGGGTGCCTGGATAGCTCAGTCAATTTAAGCGTCTGACTGGCTCAGGTCATGATCTCGCAGTTTGTGAGTTCGAGCCCCATGTCCACAGACAGCTAAGAGCCTGGCGCCTGCTTTGGATTCTGTGTCTCCCTCTCTGTCTGCCCCTCCCCTGCTTGTTCGCTCTCTCTTTCTCTCTCTCAAAAATAAACTTTAAAAAAATAAACATTAAAAAAATTTTTTAAAAAAAGAACGAACTTCAGAATCACATTGAAGTAGGTTAGATTTTTACATCATCAGCTTCCTCATTTATAACGTGGGAAAGAATACCTATCTTATCAGTAGTGTGAGGATGAGATATGATAATATATGTAAAGGAGTAGCTGTTTTGGTCATTAAAAACAAGTATTTCCTTTCCCCTGGGCTTAGTGGCTCATTGGTTTCTGGCTGTAAGAAGAGAGGAACAAACATGAGGTCTAAGGCCTCGCATATGAATGGTTACCAGTCAAATTCCCATTTATTACTTACTTACCGGACCTAACGTGGAGAAATTTTACGGGACATGAAGACTCCAAGTGCAGAAGAAGAAATCGTAGAAGTCCTCTGGACCATGGGATTTTCTTTTCCCTGAGGAAAATCTTTTGGTCTCTTATCACAATTGCTGCTTGTTAAAACTGGTAAGATACTCGTTAAGGACTTTTGTGACCAAATGATGTGTATATACAAACTCGTTAACATTTTCAAATCAGAACCTCCTCTCTAGTCTCATTAGCTCTGTTTTGGGTCCTTTACCATGCAATGTGAATTCTGTGGACTCAGGCTTAGAGGAAGACGGACGGATATTGATTTCCTGGAATTTCTCCTGTCCACCCAGTGTGTGCTTCTCCCCTGACTGTGGTGAGTCTTCCTATAGGAGACATCAATCACCATAATCAGGTCCCAAAATCACATCAATGTCTAGAGGTCATGCCTTTTTTTCTGGGGAAGGGATAGATCTTGAGAAATGGGCTACAAATTCTCACTACTGACATTAGAAGTAGATAAAAGATCTAATAAAACTCTCTGCCCCATCTATCTATGCCTGACAGGTGGCCTTTAATCTACGAGCATAAAAGCAGAATGACTTACTGTGACCAGCAGCAGGGTTACAGTGTCTCTGGGTCAGCATCTCATAACTTGTGTGAAGAGGATGTATGGAGACTTGATTTAATTCTTAGAGTAAAAAGCTGGTTCTTTGGTTAGTTTTCTCCTATCACTGCAGAAGAACCCTGCCATCCATAAAAAAAAAAAATAAAAATCACATCCCCCGTGAGGTCTTTTCTTGAACATCCCACTTTAAATTGCAGTCCTCCTTAATCCTCCCTGTACCCCCTTTCCTACTTTTTATTTATCTCCATTGTACTTACGAGCAACATTGTAGTCCTTGTGTTACTTATTTTGCGTACAGTCTGTTCTCCCCTTGGAAAGTAAGCAACGTAGGGGCAGGGAGTTTTGTGTCTTGTTCACTGCTGTATCCCCAGTGCCTAGAACAGTGCCTAGCACACTAGAGACACTTCCTTTGAAATAAGTGAACAAATGAATTCAGCTCCATTTCCACTGAAACCAAGGTCATCTGACGCAAGCTTCCCCAAATTTCCCCTTCACCTCAAAGTCTGGATCCTTAGCCATCCTCACACGCCCCCTCGCCGAGACTAAGCCTTCAGCTCTCGTCTTAACTATTCTCTTGCTCTCCTTTGGATGCTGCTGCTTCAGTTACTTCCTCTCATTCATATTTTTTAATGTTTCTCTTCCATTCCCTTCAGCCAAATCTAGCAGTCCTACGTAATCTGAATTCTCCAGGACATCTCTGTAGCACCTGTCAACGAGGTCCGTGTTTTCCTTGAAATTCCTTGCGTGGCTTCTGAGATGTTTCTTGGTTTTCTGATTGCTTGTCCTGTCTCCGCGGTCTCCTCTTCTTCCTTCTGCGTCCTTAACAGACCCCGCAGCTCTACTCCTTTTCCATACCTCCAGTTGTCTCCTCTTTGTAGATGATGTTTATTTTTTTATTTTTTTTTTTAACGTTTATTTATTTTTGAGACAGAGAGAGACAGAGCATGAACGGGGGAGGGGCAGAGAGAGAGGGAGACACAGAATCGGAAACAGGCTCCAGGCTCTGAGCCATCCGCCCAGAGCCCGACGCGGGGCTCGAACTCCCGGACCGCGAGATCGTGACCTGAGCTGAAGTCGGACGCCTAACCGACTGAGCCACCCAGGCGCCCCTGTAGATGATGTTTAAAATCATTACCTCTCCTGCGCTGTCTCTTCAATTGAGATCCAGACCTGCATGCTCCAAACCTTGAACTCTTGAGTCCTCTTACTGCCCTCCCTCAATGGGTTCCACCTGAGATTTTACAGATTCCTCTCCCCCGCCAAATGTCTTTCCACCCATGACCCTCTTCCGTAACCGCCACGGGGTAGTTCCTGTCCTTAGGCTCGGCCTAATGAAGCGGCCTTCCAACGACTCGTTGTTTCCATTTGCACCAGGTTGCTCCTCGACATGTCCAGCACGGTAATGCTGGGTTCATCTTGATAAAAATATGACAATTGTATCATGCACTGGATCAATGATTCACTCTTGCTTCTATAATAAAGTTTAAGCAGGGATTCAAAATCTTCCACAACTTCCCTACTATGTTTCCTAATACCCCTAAGGTCTCAACGAGTTGAACTCCCTATACGTCCCAACACCCAGAACTCTCCTATTGCTGTGGATTTGTTTGTTCTTTCTACTTAAGTCTCCTTTCCTCAAAAGTTTTAAAAACAATTCCCTGCTTAATTCTGATTGTCTGATACCCCATAGACAGCAATGAACACTGACATTCATTCAACTTGCAGTCACTGCTCACGTACTGTGTTAACAGGCATTTTGCTAGCCGCTCACAAAGACGAAGACAATCTTTATCCTAAAACTTCAACTCTACGGTTTTAAAAACAGAATTAATGAAGCTATGGAGTGCAGGTGTGGGGGCGGGGGGGGGTCACGGAATAGCATTCTAATATTTTCTCCTTGCTCAAATGTAATTTTTGCTCTATTTATGACTACTCAAATTGAACTTTAAAGGATATTTGCTTCCACGGGTAAGAACAGGATGTCATGCTCGGTCATAATCTCAATATTGTGCGAGATGTGTGTTGATCCCCTGGCACCTTCTTCTCCAACAGCCATGGCAAATAACTCCACTTTCAGTTCCGTCTGCAGACCCGCTGCCACCTATAGGACACAATGTAGCTTTAGAATCAGACACATCGGGGCTCAAATCTGGGTTTTAACATGAATTTGGGCAAGCTAGTTAGCCTCTCTAATCCTGTTTTCCCATCTATAAATTTGGCGCACATGAACCATCGCAGTTAGGCACTTACGAGAATTACTTTGTAGATTAGCTAGGTAGACTTCCATGGAGCAAATGGGACCCAGGATAAATTGTTGAAGGGGAAAACCAGGTGCCATTTGGGAAGAAGGGGAAGAAAAATAAAAGCCAACGTCCTGGAGGTGGCACTGAAGGCAAAGTTTACAATGCCCGCAATCGTGCTCCTTCTTGAATATCTGCAGTGAGTTCCTAGGGGCATCTTTGCAGATAAAGAGAAGTTTATAAAATAAGCGACTACGTGAATCGCACAACTTCCTGGCCCTGCCTCTTAGTTTATAATGTTCCCAGTGGAGGGCCTATGTTGTGACAGAGCCAGTATAGGGAGACGGGAGGAGTTCAGATGCCAAACTGCTTAGGTCTGAAAGCTACGTGGAAGAGGTCTGGACCAACAAAGAAGAAACCCGATATATAATGAAGAAGAAACACAGCAAGGAATGGGCTTCTTGCCTTGTCCCTTGAAGAGAACACTGGCCAGGAAAGAAAGAGCTGTTTGTGTTCCTAAGCTGCCTCTCCAGGAGGTAGGCTAAGAGGCAGACTTGAGAACAATTAGCCAGAAAAAAATATATCAGAAACCACCACATGGAAAGCAGTTAGATACAAAAAATTTGTTTTCTTCAGTATAGTTTGTAAATAATAGGACCGGAAAAATGTTTCAACTTTTTCAACAATGTGCTTGGGAAGGTCTGCTGGACGGTATCCAATGCTCCATGTCTGAGGACCAGGCCCTTCGCCCTGGAGCCCAACACAGAGGGCAGGGCTGGGGTGACGCCACTCCACATGGCAGCTGGCATCCTGCCATCAGGTCTACCCGGGCTCCGAGCACATTCACTCGGTGTTGGCAACCAACCAAGCTGAACAGCGGTTAGCTTTACATATGGACAAGTCTATAGATTATATTTGTGCAGAGCCAAAACTTACTGTCAAAAAGAAAAAAAAAATATTAAAAAACTAACAGTCGAGAGTGAGCTTCAAAGAATACACGCTGGGTTTTTAGTACCTATAAAGATTGATCCAACAGTCATTTTGGCTTTGGGCATTGCCCCTACTTTAAATGAAAAGAAATCTGCTAACTTCCCAGAACAGTGGAAGGAGAGCTGACTTTGATTTTTTGTTTTGTTTTGTTTTTTGCTTTATGTTGCGAAGTTTCTGAAATCTTGACGCAGTACGATGATGAAATGTGTGAGAGAGGTGCTCACGAATTGGTGGGTCTAATCTCAAAGTATATTTCTGTTTGGAACTGCAGCCTGCAAACTACTGTTTTGTAGACCATAAGGTATTAGGGCTGGAAGAGGACCAAGAAATTATCGGGTCTAAGCAACTCCTTTTTTTTTTTTTTTTTTATTTTTTTAACGTTTATTTATTTTTGAGACAGAGAGAGACAGAGCACGAACAGGGGAGGGTCAGAGAGAGAGGGAGACACAGAACCGGAAGCAGGCTCCAGGCTCTGAGCCATCAGCCCAGAGCCTGACGCAGGGCTCGAACTCACAGACCGTGAGATCATGACCTGAGCCGAAGTCGGACGCTTAACCGACTGAGCCAACCAGGCGCCTCAAGCGACTCCTTTTATAGATGAGGGAAACAAGGCGCGGAGGGTTTAATTAACCAACGGCACTGCTGCTGGTGGCACTGTCATTACAAGAAGCCAACTGATTTTGCACCATACCTAACTGCCCCTCTGTGTCAACGCACAACCGTGGCAGTTTTAAGATCCTGGGACTCGGCGAACACCGTGTGCTGGTTATAGAATGGGATGCCCTTGCTCTGTGTTCCCATGAGTCCGTGCGCGTCCCAGTCTGTGATGGCTGAACCTGTGTCTACCAGATATCCTCATTTCATTCTGTCACGTAGCCATCCATCTCTTGTGTCCCCGCTATGTGCCCAGCTTTGCGAGCAACTTGTGTGTCCTACTCATTTTTAACATCCCCTGTCCCCTGTCCCTATCAGTGGCGTGCTCAAGTAACTCAAAGCCTGTTGAGTGAAATGGGAGGAATGTTAAACAAGACGATGCGCTGATCAAGAAATAAATGTTAAGATTTACAAGTATGATTTTGTTATACTTTATATATTATTTTATATTTTGTATATTTGTAAACTTTTGTTTGCCTGATACTACATTTCTGAAATTATAATTTAAAGTGAGTGACAACATACAGATTTTATATTAAACACCCCACGTTGGGGAATGTGTTGAATAAAGAACAGGTTGACATTTTAAAATTGGCATTTTCAGAGCTCCTTGGAGAAATGAGGGGGCTGATGACGTTAATATACTACCATTTCTTTGTATGTCATTAGATAATATTCTCTTGGCAAACCAAAATAAGCCAAAGGTACATAAAATACAAAGAGTAGAATATTTATTTTTCCAAGGAGTTTTTCATTTTGCAGACAAATTTATTACAGGATACCTTGAGGTAGTCAGCTTTCCAAGCGCATGTCAAATCATATTTAATTTTTTAAAAGGTAGTTTTCATACAACTATACGTAGCTGTAGTATTGGGACAAATGAGTGAACTTCAGGAAAGTTTCCATAGCTGGAAGTTTAACTCTATTTATGCATAGGATCTGTCTCGGGGTCATTACACGAAGTAAGTGATATCAAGCCACATATTGTACCAATACCAGGGATCTTTTGCTTATGATCCTAGAAAAATCAGACTTCTACATGGTTTAAACTGAATGCACAGAATGACTTAAAAGCCCACTCCCATGCACACACTCCCATGCACACACAGGGACACACACAACAGGTAGCACATGGGACTTACAGGACCGGGTTTATAAGTCACTTTCAGTCCTGTGCTGGGTGGGGGCTGCTTCACCCTAAACCTGCCAGGCAAAAAGAGAAAATAAATTTACGCCATCACGAAAAAGCAGTGAATGAACTGGGATGTCATAAAACCAGGAAGGTGTTAATATTTGCTACAAAGGAGCAGGGGGTCCACACCATTAAAGAACCGCCCAATATTCAGTTGGGAGAAGCTGGGGCCCCTTTCACAACCCCCTTTCCAGCAACAGTTTTCATCAGCGTCAAACAGACTCCAACCCCAGTTTCAACCCTCTGTTATTGGATGCCGCCGACCAGCTTGGGCTCGGGCCGACTGTCGTGAATGTTTGGCTGGTGTGTGCACGGCAGCATAGCCGCCAGTGTGAACACCGATGCTGCCTGCCAGATCATTAAGCTGAAGAATAAAGGCTCTTTTGGAAAGCAGGAGAGCATGGGAGCCGTGGCATGGGGCTTGCATGTTTGGGGAGAAGAGAAACAGAAAAGGCTCAGAAAATGTAGAGACCTTGAAAAGCCCCAAGCTCACACGTGGTGCCTATTGATCTCTTTCCCTTCCTGTGGTTTGTGGGTTCTGCCTGAAGGTTAAAGACCTGGAGTAAATTAAAATGCCAGGGAAAGCCTACCTCCACGATGACCTCAATCCCGCTCCTTCCACCATCGACTTTGCTGTCTGAGCCATAGTGGCTGAATTTAACAAGCTGAGGAGTGAAATCCCGAAAGCTAAAATTCTACACTGAGTAGACAGGATCTGCATGGGTAAGTTTTATTGGTTTGAAGTTGGTTCTCTATTTCTCCCCACCCACTTTGTTGGCAGTAGCCTAAAAAGACAGTAATGTCTGATCTGGTGGCCTGGTTGTTTCTGAGGAAACCAATGTGATTCCTGAAGCTGGGTATTTGCCTCAACTAAAATGGGATGTTGATCTTTTAAACCAGATGCCTCTGTAGCTTTATTACATCTGGTTTCCGGTCTCGAGTCCAGAACCATAAACTGGAAGGACTTGCCACTTACAATGAGCATAGCTCTGCAACTGAAATAAACATTTATTCCACTGTTTTGGGGGAGGGGACCCCATATTATGCTTAAGTTTAATCCAAAATAGAATAGGGAAGATTTTGTAATTGGGTATAGACACTTGTAATTGGGTATATGTCCTGGTATAGACATATGGTCTATTGACCCAGTGGGAAGGACTGAACTCCCACACAAGAAGTGACCACAGCTGTGTGGATAAAGCATGGTGCCACATACAAACAGGTCCACAGGAGATCTGAGATCCTGTCTTGCTCTAGCCAATAAGACCTTAAAACATGTTACTCTGATCCTCTGTAATAGTCTCTGCAAATTCTAAAATTCTAATGATCTGGAAATGAAGGATTCTTGTCACTGAATGCCAGCTGTAGGGTATTTTCAACTGGGAGGTCAGGCTCTGAGTTACGGCCAAGTCAGATCTTCAGAGGCAAAATGGCCCTAATGACTCAGGTTAATTTTTTTTTTCCTTTTTGCCTCAATTATGCAGAAATAGTGGAGTTAAAATCCCATATGGATCATAAAGTACAAACAAATGTCAGCTGGCATTATAGTGGGTGGTGGGTTTGAGAAATAGACTTTCAGGTTTTATGCATTAGTTACTATAAGACTTGTACAGGGGCGCCTGGGTGGCGCAGTCGGTTAAGCGTCCGACTTCAGCCAGGTCACGATCTCGCGGTCCGTGAGTTCGAGCCCCGCGTCGGGCTCTGGGCTGATGGCTCGGAGCCTGGAGCCTGTTTCCGATTCTGTGTCTCCCTCTCTCTCTGCCCCTCCCCCGTTCATGCTCTGTCTCTCTCTGTCCCAAAAATAAATAAACGTTGAAAAAAAAAAATTTTATAAGACTTGTACAGCTTCCCCTTTAGTTTTTGCTACCGTAGATCAGCCCCTGAATTGCTTCTACCAAAGTATGAATAACGATTAATGGGAGGACAAAGAAGTGCCCACCACATAGTTGAGGCTTGAAAAATACTGATCTGATGAAGAATGAATGAATGAATGGATGAATGAATGAAGTAAATGGTTGAATGAATGATGTGAGGATTCAAGAGTCAAGGTGTAATTAGAATGCAGTTCGATAAACGTTCAGTGACACAGGTAGCCAAAGACAAGTCCCAGCAAAGGAGAAAGTGACGTGAGTAGACATTTGGTGCCTTGGCCTCACCTGCAAAAGTCCACTCCAACATTCTTGAGCTTCACAGTGGTTGCATAGGTGTGTCCTTCTTTTAGGACTCCAAACTTCACTGATGGTGGGAGAAGGTGGAATCCAAAAGGGGATGAGTTCACGTTATTAATGGCAGCAGACGCAACAGAGGACGTTTTCACTTTGCCTCCAACCAAATCTTGCACCTTTGCATTTAAGGAAAAAGTAACAAAAGAAAATGGTTCCAAGTTGTGTTCCCAAGATAAGAAAAAGGCCCTATCGCCAGAGGAAAAGAACTGCTTGGCTGTAGGAGGAAACGAACACTATCGGTCTCGTGTAATCCTTACAACAGCGTGTAAGGACAAATTTTAGGCTTTCAGGATGAAGAAGCTGTCGTTCCGAGAAGCGTAAGGCGTCATTTGCTCAAGCAAAAGTTTCAAACTCAAGTTGGCCTGATTCTAAACTTTATGCTTTTTCCTCTGTGCCAGTGACTAGCGAACTTCAGCTTCCAGTGACTAGCAAACTTCAGCTTCCGTCCAAATCACCTGGGAGGCTTGTTAAGACACAAACTGCTGACTCTACCCCCCAAGCTTCTCAACCAGTAAATCTGGGAGGGAGGGGCGTGAATTTGCATCTGTAACAAGTTCTCAGGCTTTGCCAATGCTGCTGGCCAGCTAATCACACTCTGTGCTCTTATTATCTTGTTATTGGCCAGCACTGAGCTCAACCTGGGAGTTCATTAGAACGGCCGGTTCTCAGGCCCCCGTGACTCAGAATCTCCATGCTCACAAGATTCCCAGATAATCATGTGTGCATCAAAGTTTGAGAAGCACTCTTACCATGTAACACTTACATTGCAACCTATTCTGTGATGACAATGAACACACGGTGCCATGAAAACATCAAAGGATAACTATCAAAAGGATTGGTAGGCTCAAGGCAGGTGTTCCCAGCAGAGATGAGAGGAAATCTTAATCTTGGAGGCTCTGAGGAAGGAAGGAGCTTTTAAAGAACTAAGGGAGGGGCACCTGGGTAGCTCAGTCGGTTGAGCATCCGGCTTCGGTTCAGGTCTCGTTCTCACGGTTCATGGGTTTGAGCCCCACGTCGGGCTCTGTGCTGACAGCTTAGAGCCTGCTTCGGATTCTGTGTCCCCCCCCGCCCCGCCTCTCCCCCACTCACGCTCTGTCTCTCAAAAGTGAATAAAGATTAAAAAAAATTTTTTTAAAGAACTAAGGGAAACCCATGATGGCTGAAGTGAGGAGGGGGGCAAAAAGAGAGTAAAGGCAAACAGGGCTTGTAGCCATGCTGCCATTGTGGATTTTATCCTAAGAGCCATGGGGAAGGATGGCCAATGATCCCTGGGACCAGTGGTGCGCTGGTAAGCTGGCTCTCTGAAAAGAATGTTGATTAGTAGCATTTGCTGATGTGTATGGTGTGAGCACTCCCAGCAGGCTGATTTCAGGCTAGCCATGGTTTAAGAGCCAGCTCCTAAAATTCCCCTCGTGAGCCTGGATGAGCTGGCCCCGGGCAAAGGGCGGCCTTGGATCATTCTCTGTGTGATCCAAAGGCCTTCACGGGGAGATGATGGTATGTATGTCCACTCAATCGCAGTACCCAGTGGCTGGACATCAGTAACTTCAATGGGTCGGGATTGCATGAAATGCCGCCTGGCTCTGGGACATTGGTCCCCATGTCTGTTTTACCTTTGTGAGAGGCTGGGACTTGGGCTTGGAGCTCAGCAGGTAGTGAGGTAACTTCACTTTTTCTTTCCTTGCTTGCCCCGCAACATCCTGCAGCAACGACTGGGTGGGGATTTTCACAGGCTCACAGGACTCTGCTTCTGTTAGAAAAGTTTAAATTGTGCCACACAGACGTTTTACTCAAAGACATTTGAGGGCATACCAGAGTTTATGAGAACATAAGCCAACTTGGGAAACTTTCCTTCTTACCTTTTTAAAAGAACTTATTTAAAGGAACAAAGTCAACCCTAGCGTTATGTCTTTACATTTTACAAAGAGATTGTAACCTAACGTTGGTTCTCACGACACCCCTCTGAGATGGGCGGGCAGGTGCTTAATAGCATCATCTTTTCTAAATAAATGAGAAAAGTCAAATTCTGAGAAGCTGGGTGACCAGATCTCCCCAGGGTTCTTTCCGTTAAATCAACGAGGGACAATACAGTAAACATTGACTCGGAAAGATCTTTTAAAACCGATGAAGGAAAAAAATGTATATTTTTATATATACCCTTATATATGTATAAGTATTTATATACTTCTAAAAAGTGGCTTAGTAATTACAGGTAAATTAAGCCAGGGAATTAAATCTTCAGATCACCACACTTGGTGAAGGAGTGAGCAAAACTAGATAATGTGCATAGATAGCTGCACCTGTCTTTCTCCAAATACCCAGTGGTTGAAATAGCAATAGTAGTTTAGATCATCTGATTTAAACATCCTTCCTTGCATTCAGATCACCAAGGGCAGGAAGGCATGGAAACCAATGTTTGACTGTCCACCATGTGCAGTCAAGCGCCACAAGTGTGTTCTTACATGTAGCATCTTACTCAATCCTCAGAAAATTCTACAAGCTGAGGGCTATGGTATTCTAATCACTGTACACTCAGCACTCTCCCCATTGCCTGTTTCCACCCCCCATTCCGCCCAGACATACTTCTGGTGCCACAACATCTCCGGCTCCAGTCACCAAGATGGTGCATGACCCATGCAGAGCCAATGTGGGCTCTTCACCAGTATATTTCCAAGAAGCTGACAGTGATGGCCCCAGCTTTGCCTACCGGGTTATGGATCTGGGAGAATCAAGATCTTGGACCTCTACTGTCATGGTCCCTGCCTCATGGACATAGTCTGTTCTTTGCAGGAGAGGGTAAAACCAAACAGGGACAAATCGGGATGAAGCAAGATGGAGGTGGTGGGGGGGGAGGGCTGCCCCAAGAGAGGGGCAATCAGACACAAACACACTCCTTAAAAGCCAGAGTGCCTGGATCCAGTCAGCCCTGGGCTGGCACCACATCCACTACTCTGTGGCTGGCTTTAAGGCACCAGTAAATGTCCCCCCACTTTTCTGTTCAGCGACTTTGAGTTCTCTCAGTTACAAATTGAAGAGTCGTAACTAATATAATAGCAATCTCTCTCTCTCTCTTTTTTTTTTCTTACAAACAAGACAACTGAGGTTAAATAACTGGTCCAAGAAATGGAAAGAAGTGGCAGGGCTGGAATATGCAGCCAAGTGAGTCAGACTCCTCCAGGAACATGTTCCTTCTCTTAGTGTAAGCTAACAGAAAATACAGATACTGGTCTCCACCCCTGGTTGCACAGAACTCCTAAAACCCTTGGAATTTCCTAGATGGTAAGAACGCTAGGAACATCTTTTGTTCTAGGATTTGGTCTTTGACCCAGGTTCCTAACACAGGGCTCTTAAATGCCTTGGACTTTCCTGGGTAATCGCAGAGTCTTTTGATACAATGAGGCTACTCTTCCTGAGCCCCTGGATAGCTTCAAGATGGGGGCCAGTCACCAGAAAGACCAAGACATGATTAGCAGCTTAGAACTTTCAGTCCCACCTCCGTCCTCTGGGAAGGGGAGAAGAGATGAGATTGAGTTAATGATGGATCACGCCTGGGTGATGAATCATTCATGAAACTGCCCACAGTACAGGGTTGCGAGAGCTTCTGGGTTGGTGAACACATCTGTGTACCTGGAAGGTGTGCACCCCAATTCCACAGGGGCAGAAGCTCCTATACTGGACCCTTCCAGACCTTGCCCTATGCCTCATCATCTGGCTGTTCATCTCTGCCGTTTATCATTTCCTTTATATAATAAGATGTGAGTTTGGAGATGTTGTATCAAATTGTAAAACCCTAGGTGGGGTCATGGGAGCCCCAGTTGATAGCTGGTTGGTCAGAAGCACGGGTGACAGCCAGGATTTGCAACCCGCACCTGAAGTTGGGCGGGGGGCAGTTTTGTGGGACTGAGCCCTTCACCTGTAGGGTCTGCACTACGTGTGGTTGGTGTCAGAATTGAAGTGAATTGTAGGACACCCAATCAGTGCCGCAAAATTGCTTGGTGTGGGAAACTCCTCCCCCCGCCCCACCTCTGGGCACAGAAGTGTTCTGTACGAATAGTGAGTTTTTCCTAGACAACTGCCCCAGTGTGTCCCAAACTCATCCATGCATCATAATCCCCTGGGCTTGTTCTAGAAAAATAGAGGTTCCCAGGCCACAGGCCAGACAAGCCCAATTTTAGACCAAAACCGAATCAGAATCTCTGGGGATGGAGCTCAGGGAGCAGTGTTTCAATGTCTTTCCCTTTGGTTACCATTTCCTACATGTGCAACCATTCTAATGGGTTGATGTACCTTTTTGTTTGTTTTCTTACCGTATGCATATTACTGTTTTGTGTCCATGCGTTTTACGAGTCTAACAAGTTCTAATTAATTGCTCACTCTGTTATTATTAACAGTAAATACCGATAGGGAGTCTATCCTGTGCCAGGCACTACTCTGAAAAGCATTTTACAGATACTAACTGATTTAATCTCGACAACCTCATGATGCATATTACGTTATTTCCCCTTTCCAGAAGAGGAAATGGGAAGAGATAGTGGGGTTAGACAGTGTGCCCAAGGTTACGCAGCTATTCCATAAGGAGCCAGGTACAGCCTGTCTGTACTCTCAGCTCTGCAGGTCACCAGGCTGCCTCCCCTAATACCCCACTGGACCGCCCCTGGGCTTCAGCAGGGATTGGAGGAGGGGGAGGAGTGCTTTGAGGCGCTTGAAGCAGCTGATACAGAGGTACTTCTCATATATCTATATCTATATCTATATAGGTATATATAGATATATACACACACACATATATACACACATACATGTATATATATACACACATATGTGTATGTATGTATAAAATATATAAATATATATTTATATAAAAATTATAAAATTTATATATATAGGGGCGCCTGGGTGGCGCAGTCGGTTAAGCGT